CTAGGTAAGTATGGGGATAAAGATCGACTTGAATACTGAGAGCTTAGTTTTCAGACTGAGCTCTGTTTTCGTCACAACGGGTCGGGCTAGTTTACGCAGAACGCCACTGGCTACACCAATTCGCCTGTCGATCTCTTCCTCCAACTTTCCATCACTAGTAAATATAGTTCCGAGGTACTTGAACTTCTCCACGTGCTCCACTGCCTCTCCGTTAATCTGAAGAGAGCAAGGGGCAGGAGAACGAGAAAGCACTAGGCTTTTCGTTTTAGATGGGTTCACATGCATGCCGATCACGTCGTATCCCGCTGCGAACTTTTTCAGAGATCGCTGAGGCTCAGTTTCAGAAGATGCCAATTAAACAAGGTAGTCTCTTAACATCAAATTTCTCATCTCGACATCTTCTACGCTAATAGCTTCATCTCCTAAGCTGGCCTGACAAAATATTTATTGCTATAGCGTTTGGAACCTACAACGATGTTTCTTTTTCAGTGCAAAAAACAGTGAAAGGGAACGTCAATAGCAGTATGCTAGTAAACCCATAAGATCAGGTATTATTTTGCTCTATATAAGCCTACGGATCATAAGGTAGCTTGCAGTTACATGAACAGGTTCCCAGATTCTCAAATCGCATGGAGCTATGATATGCTTAAATGGTCCCTTACGCCACTAGAAGCAAGGCGGTAGTGCTTACGCTGCTTGGATCCGGTATCGAAAACTTATAAAGATTACATATGTCTTAGCGGCGGTATCAAAAACTACTGCTATGCTAGTAAACCCGTAAGATCGGATTTTATTTTCTTGAACATAGGGGAATATATTCTATCACTGGGGTCCCACGAGTTCCACCTAATAATGAATTTTCCATCGTTTTACTTGAGACGCTAACGTTTTTATATCTATACGGGTGCAATTAAGGAAACCAGCTCCTACACACGTCCATGAACAGCATCAGGTGTGCTGTAAAAGTAACGTGTCATGCATCTGGCAATGCAGATGCTCAAATTCCGTGGCACCGTAAGCAACTTGGAGCTACGGTGAGGCGCGCTGTGCCGGAAAAACGGATCTTATGGAGTTTACACCACGAAAAAGAGATATACACAACGATGCAAAGAAACGTGACATTAGACGTCCTAGATCCAGTGCCCCTTGCTGCTGACCCATCTGGAGCATCTCGGGTTGCGGATAGGAAACGACCTCCTGATATGGATGTTACTTGCGACAAATATGCAGTTGCTGACAGGAAGCGGTGAGACTCAAAGGGCGTGGCCGAATTTTAGCTCGACTAATTCGATCCACAGGAAAAAAGCAACAGTGCTCAATCAAGGCTAAAAGGACCCCGCCCTTTAAAAAATGACCGCGAAGGCCGCCGCTTCCGCATGGTTAGACGCCGGTTCGTCAAAGGTTAGAAAATGCAGCTCTGATTCAAAAACCGAATGGAATTTGGGACCCTTCTATGAGAAATACCCCGGATCACTGTCAGCCCTGCTGGCGGATAGCAAAACCTCATGCGTTCTGGTAACGCAAATAAATGGGCTTCAGTACTAAACAGACGAGCGGCTACTAAGAATCCCAGGTTGCAGGGGGCAATCTCACAGTGGACTCGGTCTTTCCTCGCAGAGTGCACTTACAACAGTACAACATTGGCAATGGGAAAACGTTAAAGCAACTGATGGAAGAGAGGTCACAGTTGACTTGCAACATTCTTTGTCTCTATGAGACACCACAGCTAAGGAATGAATGGAATTTTCAAACATGCTAGTTCGATTTGGCTAGGAAGAGGAGAATATGAGAAGAACATAGGAGGAATCGGAGTTGTAGTCAGTTAAAGCTGGTCCCCAAAGTCTTCTCCTGCTCTGTGAAATGACCAAGGTTGGACTTGCTGTCCTCTAACTCTACACAAAAGGCACCTTGAACATCGTCCAAACCTATACTTCCACAAGTACCGCTGATGAGAAGGAATTGAAAGAATTATGTCAAGAACTGGAGCAAGCATTGGTCCAAAAGTCCAGGCATACCTCGTCATGGGAGGCTTCAATGCCAAAGTCAGATGAGATAGGGCCGTTGAGAAATTTGTGGGTATGTACGTCACCACAAAACGAAATGAGCGACGAGATCAGCTGGTGATCGTGGCAGAAGCGAAATAACTGTACAGTGGCAACACCCAGTTCAAGAAGAAGACCAACA